TATTTTTTTATTTATTTAATTAGCTGGGGATTTTTGTTTTAGTAGAATAGTGCAATCCGAGTTTATTAAATTAAATTTAGCATTGATTTTTGCTGAAAATATTTTTTCTTCAATTTTAATTTAATCCGATATTGATTAATTTTATCAGTGATTTTTTTTGAAATTTTTCGATTTTTAGAAAATTATTTTTAATTTTTTATTTAATTTCTTTTTTTAATTTTCCTTAGTAATCCACTAATAATAAAATAAATATTTTCCGAAAAAATTTAACCGATTGATTTCCCTTTGTTATTTTCCTTCTCCTCTTTTCTCCTCTATTGACCATTGTTGTAGTGTAACGACAAAAGAAAAGATTAACTGTTTGTCTTAAGTGCGCAAAAAAAGAAACTTTTTGTTATATTAGGTACTTAAAACTCAACTATTTTTTTATTAAACAAAAAAATATTTTTTGTTAATAAACTAATTCGCTAATATTTTTTAAAAGTTTTTTTGGTTTTCCTTTTTTCCTTTTTAGTTTATATCCCTTCTTTTCCATTCAAAATCCCTCCTTTTTAAATACTTAAATAAAAAACCCCATCGAGATTTTTAGAAAAACTCGGGCGGCCGCAGGCCGCTTCGGAGAAGCCTGAAAGTTGTGGAAGGGTCCTGCAACTTTTTACGGAGCATCCAGGAAAACTCCAACCTCGGTACCACGATGACCCCTTGGCACCGAAACGACCGCGGTTAATTGGCTATCTCCTGAACGCTCTGTTGGATCGGAAAACTTCCGCTGTGAGGGCACTCCGCCACTATATGAGGATATCGAATAAAAAAAATTTTTCGAAATTCGGTAAAGTCTTAATACCGATATGCCGTCTTAACCCTTTTTAAATGGTGGCCAAATGTCGGTTCACTGGGTAGCGATCATTTGATCGTTTCTTGTATCTCCAGAGTGGCTGAACCGATTGAGATGGAACCAAAGGGGTTATAGTTAATCGCCCAAGAGAAAATTAATGGGCATGGTTTTGAGGGAGTCAGTTCAGTCTTAAGGGGCACAATTGAGTCTTGAAAATTTCAACTGTTTATAACTTGAAATTTTTGGGTGGTGAGCTTTTGGATGTAGAAGTATTATTCGAAGGCAAAAGTGTGCCGAACATTTCACTTGGGGGACACTTGAGTCTGGGATTTTTTCTGAGCGAGTTATGAGTCTTGGGGTGAGACTCAAAATGTCGACTTTTTTTATGCGTGAACCGAAGTTAGATTTGAGTGTACAATCTTACACAGCAACATAACCTGCAACTTAGAGCCGTTTCAGTGGCACTGAAATAAATAAAAAAATTTCTCTTTTTCTATATCGCTCTATTTTTTTCGCATGCTATTTCTCTAAAGATTTGATGTATAATTTCGAGAAGCTTTATCTCGAAAAAAAACTTTGAGAAAAAAATTTCAACTTAGCCAAATCGTTAAACAAAGTCTTATCTTTGTTTTAAAACAGAATTTATTGATTTTTAATATGTTTAAAAAAAGTTACATATGGTTTTATAAGTAAATTTAGAAAATGAAAAATAAAGGAAAGATTGATTTGAAAAAATTTATTTTAATTTAAAATGACATTAAATGTTAATTAGAAAAGATATTATTAGGATTTCCTTATTATATAATTCATTTTCACTGAAAGGATTCGAACCTCGTGCATTTTTCGCTGTCACTAACCAACTAAACCATACTCCCGCACTGAAAGGCTGGTTGCACCCTCTGCCTGTTTTATGTTGCTGTGTCTTATAGAGCGTCCTTTAAATGTTCTAAAAATATATACTTTGTTTGGGGTACACTTGAGTCTGGGAAAGTTATAGGGCAAAAAGTGGCATTTTTGGTGCAAAAAGTGGTCGGTTTTTTGAGTATAACTTTTTTTTAAAAATTTATAAAAATAAACGGACTTTAGATTCGTGTTCAGCACCTATTGGAGTACTATTAAACTTATTTTTCTCGAGGTCGAATTTTTGGCCCATTTTTGAAGGGGTAGTACCCCTTTTGAAATTTTTTGGTGAAATTTAAATTGAGCATAACTTTGTTTATTTTTGTCATAGCCAAACGAATTAAGGGTCATAAAATAGAGCAAAAAATTACAAATTTTTTTATCTATTTAAAGTTTTGAAAAATTCCACCCGAGGCCTGGTAGGGTCGATTTTTTTAAAATTCAAAATTTTTCGGTTTTTTGAAATTTTCTGGGGCATATCGAGTCTGAGTGTTGTTGCAAATATTTTTATAAAATAGATCAGAATTTTTACTATATATTAAGCTTTTAAAATGTTTCAAAATGGTTTATTTTTGGGGAGTTATGAATTTTTAAATATTTTGGTAAATTTTAAGTCTCAAAAATTGGGAAAAATTTTTGACGTGTCAAAAGTTTTTATTTTTTTCACAAAAAACGGTCTATGTGATGCTCTAGCGTGCGCTAAGTACAAATCCGGCGTCAGAAAATTTTTAAAAATTTTCCCCGGACATTTAGAGTCTCAGAAATTTTTGCGACATTTGCGAACATTGGCCATAACTTTTTGAGATCAAGTGGACCCCCAACAATGTATACCTATTTCAGAGCCCCATAGAACGCTCTTTCGATTAGGGTATCAAAAATACCTGAAGCCCTTTTTACTCTAACTTAAATACCCTTTTAAGTTAGAGTAAGGCCCGAGCTTCAACCCATCTAAAAGGCAGAGCTATGGTCAAAGGCAGTGGTTTGTGGGCCGAAGGCCCCCAAACGGCGGCCGGAGGCCCGCCGAGCGAGGGCCGTAGGCCCGAGCACTCCGAGGCCGAAGGCCGAGGAGTTTGGAGGCGAGGGCCGAAGGCCCGAGCACTCCGAGGCCGAAGGCCGAGGAGTTTGAAGGCGAGGGCCGAAGGCCCGAAGCATCGCTCGGGCCGAAGGCCAGAGCTTCAACCCATCTAAAAGGCAGAGCTATGGTCAAAGGCAGTGGTTTGGGGGCCGAAGGCCCCCAAACGGCGGCCGGAGGCCCGAGCACTCCGAGGCCGAAGGCCGAGGAGTTTGGAGGCGAGGGCCATCGGCCCGAAGCAACGCTCGGGCCGAATGCCCGAAGCAATGAAAAGGCAGGACAAACTTTACCGTTTCTAGCAGCGCGCGAAGCGCGCCCCAAAGCCGTTAGGCTTTCCAACGGGCAGAATGCTATTAAACCTAAAGTATCCTAATAGGAATTGCATACGTAACTTACCGCCATACCCCAATGGGCACCACTAGTTTATACATATATAATTCCCTTCTTTCTATTAATATAATCCCCCAACACATAATTTCGATAAAAATTTCTTTGAAAATATTATTTTTTTTTATTTTTAGCAAAAAATATTAAGTAGAAAATTCTGAAATATTATTTAGAGTAGGGTATTGTGTTTGTTTGGGAGTTGATTTTTAACCGAAACTATAATTACTTAAATATTTGTTTTTATTTCATTAAATTTAAAAGTTCGTGTCAAAGAAGGGGAATTCGGAAGTACACTATTATTCATTCAATCTCGGTTTTGTTTTCCTCTTATTTTTGTCTCAATTTTATTAACACAAATAAGCGTATTTCTGCTTCAAAAAAGTTCCTTTGCTTCATTTAACAAAGATTATTTTTATAGAATTTATCAACTTCTACATATTTTTTTAAACATTTTGCTACATTTATTTATTCTCTAAATAAATAAGTAGTTTATTTTAAACAAAAAAATCATCTTTCTTTTTATCCTTTCAATATTCTTCCGCGCACATCCGCTTCTCTTTTTTTTTGTAATCCCCTTTATTGAACAATAACAAAAAAAGAAGTATGTTTGGGGGCTCTTCATTTGTCCACTTGTTTAATTTTTTGTATAGAGAGTTAGTTATTCCTCTCCTTCATTTTTTTGTATATTTTAGAGACCAACGAACAGATAATTAATTAACGATTTTATTTTTTTACATAAATTTATTTACATCTTTTAATGAAAATTTTTGTTATTTTTAATTAACAAACTTGAAATTTATTTTTTTTATTTAATTAGTAATTTTTAAACTTTTGTTGATTTTTTCTAATTTTTTATTAAACCGTTCAAATAAGGTAGGACACAACCGGTAATTAACCGGTACCCCCCGGTCGTCGGTTAATCCAATTTTAAAACACCCGGTTTTCGGTTTTGAGTTTTAGACAAATACCGCTTTTATTTTGGGACAATTTTTAACAGAATCACTCATTTTCAAAAAATTTCCGGTATTCGATTTTTAAAATTTTCTAAAAACGGTTAATTTTGACAAAAAATATCAAAAATTCCGGCTTTAAAACCAACCCTACTTTTAAAATTTAAGCTAATCTATTGTGTTTGTTACACAATTTTACTTAATTTTAATTATTTTTAAATTTGCTTTAACTTTTTTTAGCTCTATAAATATTTTAATTTTAAAAATATGTTAGTATATTTATTAATTCCTTATTAATTTAAATTTTAATTAAACAACAACAAAAAATAAATTATTATACATATAATGTTAAATTCATTACCTCCACTACAACCATTACCTTTAATAATTTTGCTGAGGAAATGGATTTTTCTTTTTTATTTGCTCATATTTTGTAAGCATTTTATAATAAATAAGCCTAATCCCTTTTAATAAATAAAAAGTATATAATATATTTTTTTACCAAATTTGGCATTACAGTACTTGCCTAGATAATTGAAGAATTGCCGTTGTTTCTGTTATATTTTTCTGTACCGTAAATTAATTTCATGTGATCCTCATATTCAAAAACATCCTCTGAACCTTCAAAATAGTGGTTGAAGCATAACCCCTATTTCAATTCGTTAAATTTTTAAGGATTATTTGGTTAATTATTTGGCCAATTATATTTTTTTAAATAATTTTAAAATCCAAATCATAACAAATTAATTTAGTAATAACAATTGCTCACACATCAACACCTTCAACAGCTCAGCAACTTCACAATCAAAGGCGACGACTTAAACAAAGCAACAAATTATCGAAAGAACAAACGCCTATGGCTGTTTTGCCCCCAGCATTTCTATCATCATCTCAACAAATGGAAGAAGTTGAGGGAAGGGAAGAAAGGGAAACAAGTAATTTGAATGATGGAGTAGATTCTAATGTTGATGATCAGGCAATAGAGAGAATATCTAGATCTTTGAGAATCGAAAAGGATCAAGAGGTGGATTAATGATTTTATTAATTGTTTTAAAGTGTACTCTGTGAATGACCATAAATCATATCCAAATCGCTGACTGATAAATTTGAAAATGGTCATTTCGATAATAAAATTATTAAGGATTGCCTAGATTTTATCCGACAAACTAAGCATCGTTAACTTGTAGCAAAGACCCCATTCTCTTCCTAGCCTCCGTACTAGATTAATAATAAGTTTTATTATTATCTAATGATCATTGGCAAAATAATAAGGAATCATCCAAATCATTGAGAGAACCTTTTTTAATAAGTCTATTCAATTTTTCATTAATTTACTTTTTTGTTTGACATACAAATTTTGTGAACAAAATAATATTTTTTATTTAATTTTTAGTTTAAAAACATTTTTTATAAGGATCCATCACGCCTTCTTAATGTTTTTCTTCCACCATCTTCTCAAATAAATAATCGCCCAAATAGATTTCATCAATTTATTGCCAGAGTAACGGATGTATCTGTTGTTGAGTAAGTTTTGTGAATTTTACTAAATCATGACAAATAAATAATTATTTAAAAAATAATGAGAAATTTAATTTATTATTTCATTGAAAATTAGTTTCTGGTTTTTACAAAAGTTGAAATAAAATATTTTTGAGAAAGATATACACTAGGTTTTTTAAAAATTATTTTTTAATGTATTTTTAGCGATCCTCGGAGTTGGGATGTCAATAGAACATTTCTTGCATCTGTTACCGATTCATCAGTTATTAATGTTCACGGCCTCAATGCTGGCCATAAATATAAAGTTGCAATTCTTGGGAGAAGAGAAGCTGAAAGTTTATTAATTCGGGAAGAAGATGTAAAATTTTATTTTTTTAGAATATATTTTGTAAATTTAATTAAGAAACGAAATAATATCTTTAAATTATTTTTTCTCTCTTAAAGATTCTGATGGATCCTGTTCCTTTGGATTTTGGTGTTCCTAGTAATTCAACATCCATTCTTGTAACACAACACAATATTACATTAAGAGCACATAAACCTGAAAGAGCATTACAGGCATTTTCATATATTTAAATATCAAACTCCTCCCTCTCGTTTAGGACACATTCAGAATTGAATATCACCAATTAGACCCTCTCAAACGTTTTCCTATACTTGACATTCACGATCTACAAGAACAACGTGAAGTGGAACTTTATATTGGAAATTTATCCCCTGGAAGAGATTACGAAATTTCTGTAACTTCTTTGAGGGAAGAACTGCCAAGTGTGCCTTGGAAAGGAATTGTTACAACACGTAAATTGTTAAATTAGTTTAGAAATTAAATATTTTTAAGGTCCTTTAAAACCTGAAAATCTTAATGTTATTGAAATTAATTCTTCGTGTGTTCTTCTTCAATGGCAATTACCCATTGAATCGGGTGCTGATCGGTTTAAGATAGCTTATGGACTGTTACATGGTGCACAGGCTATGTTAAAGGTAATTTTTGAGACCAAATTTTTTTCTTAGATAACTAAGGATATAATATTAGATTAGGCTTGAATTAAATATGGATTCATCGTTTTTGGTAAATAATTTTACATATGACTGAGGAAATTTACTCGAAAATATTAATTATTAATTTAGCAAATAGCCATCATTCTCTATTTAAAAATCTTCACACCCTTTTTATTCCATAAATAATTTACTTTAATATTTTCAGTTAGAAGTTTTATATCCCAAACAACAAATACCCCTTTGCCAACAAATTGTACCCGGCAGAGCTTTCATTTTTGCTGTTATAGCAGAAAAATCAAGGCAAATATCTGAACCTTCAACTACTTCACATACAATTAAGCCTTTGGCTCCAAAAGACTTAGTTGTAGAGCCTGATTTTGAAAGGTGAAAAAAAATAAATATTTTTTGGAAACCTTTAAATAATTTAAGTTCACGTTTCCGTGTCAGAGTTGGTCTTGCCCCAGAGAATGAATCACATACAGAGTTTGTTTAAATAAAATATTTTAAAATAAACTAAATATTACATATAGAAAATGTCAAATTTCTGTTCAATCTGAGGATCAAAATGGAAGAAGCGAACAAGCTATTGTTCCAGCTAAAAACGGACAGATTTGTGAAGTAATTAATTATTTTTTAATCAGAAAAATGTTTTATTTTTAAAGGTTTATTTCGATTTATTACCCGGTAGAAGATATGAATTTGCTGCAACTGCTTTAAGTGGATCAACTGCTTTTAGTACTAGAATGTTGAGAAATAGAGCTGTTGAACCAGGCTTTGATTTTGCTTCTTTTGGATTAAATTTGAAAGTATACCCAATGAATTTTTGGGAGAAAATTAATTAAATTTATTTTTAAGGAAACACCCAATAATGTCAGCAATTCTTTAGTTCTTGAATGGCCACAAAGTGAAGTAGCTCGTTTGAGGATTGCTGACCTTTGGGCCCGTATTGTGTTAGTTAATGGAATAATTCAGAAAAAATTTATTTTTTCTAGAGGACGTGACTCTCATTTACATTTTTCTATTCAACCTTTTGACAATCCCGGCCCAACTATTCAACGGGAAACGGGCCCGACAGAGCCGTCTCCGTTAGTTATTGATGGTTTACATGAGGGGGAATGTTATAAAGTGAGGGAGATTTATTGTTAAATTAAAATTTTTTGTTCATTGAATAATTTTAGGTTCTTTTGTACACCGTTACATCATCTGGAATAGGTGGAGAAATATTTTTAATAAAATAATTCTTTTTTTTTAGTTTCTGAACGTCGTTTCGAACAATTTCTTCGAAAAAATGCACCTCAATTAGATTTAGCTGTTGGGCACCTTAATTCTAGAGCTGCAACAATTCAAACTTTTTATGTTTCTGGAACTTCTACATTATTTAATAGTGGTAATTAATTTAAATAGAAGAGTTGGGATTTGGATTATTTGAAAGTTTACAACAAAATTTTCTATTCTCTTTATAAACTCTTGGAATTCCTAAACTTAGACTAAAACAAAAAACAAACTTAAACAGATAATTTAAAAATAATATTAAATTAATTAATAGATAATAAAAACAACAACATTAGAACCTCCAAAAAAGAAAAACTAAAAATTTCCCCTCAATGCCAACTTCAAATACAAGTTGTCGACTCCTTAACTTCTCAACTTATTGTTGAACGTATTTTGACATTATCTTCAAATGAACAAAATTTACAAGAATTATCTACTTCCTCTCAATTACCTTCTCTTTCTTTGGATAATCTTAAACCTTGGCGAAAATATGTTGTAAATGGAGAGGTTAGGAAGAATTATATTTAGTTACAATATTTGTAGATTATGAGGGATTTCCATGCCTTTTAAATATAAATCAACCAATTTAATTTTTTAATTTAAAATTCTAATAAAAAATTAATATATTATTTTAAGAGCCATTTTTTATATTACTTTTTAAAAAAATAAACGGCCTTTGAAAGCTATTTAATTTTAATTATTTTAAGTACTTTCCAATAATTCTAAATACAAAAGTTGATTGTTAAAATAATTTTAGGTAATTTGTGGTGCCCAAAATCGACATTCTTCTCCATGTACCCCAAAAATGCACAGATTAACTCAAGTAGAATTTCGTACAGAATCTGCCCAACCCGGACCTATTGTAATTTATTTTTGCTTTTTAAATTTATATATTTTTTATTTTAGTTAAATTTTACTGTTCGCCCATTAAATTCGTAAATTGATTTGAAAAATATTTTTTGATTAAATTATTTTTAGGTATTCTGCTCAATTAAAATGGCAAATACCTTCAGAACCGAATGGACTAATTAGTCATTATATTATTCAGGTAAATAAAATTGAAAAAAATTCCACGTGTTTGCCATTTGATCCCAACAATTTATTAATCAAATTAAAATTTCTTCTAAAATGTTGCTAAGAATCAGAGGTGTGTCGGAATTCCGATTTCCGACGTTTTTTCCTTCCGATTTCCGAAATTTTGGAAAAATTTCCTATTTCCGACAATTTTTGAAGCATATTTCCGACTAGAGATTTTTCCAATATTTTCAAAATTTGGAAGTTTTGAAAAAATGGAAGTTTTTGGCTTAGAAATGGAGGTTTTTGGCTTAAGGATCTTCCAGAATTCTCAAAATTTCCGACACCTGTTCCGGCCCACCTCTGCTAAGAAGAGACAATTGTTTTAAAAAATTATTTTTTAAAAATTAAAATATTTATTTAGATTGAACCTCAATTAGAAAACGATAACAACGATTTACTTAACGAATTTGATAATATAAAGCCTTGGACAGAAAAAGTTATTGTTCAAGAACAAAATAAAAATAATAAAAAATTAAATGAAGAATTTAAACAAAAAGAATTTATTGAAAAAATTTTGGATAGATTGAAGGGGGGACATAAATATTTACTTCAAGTTTGGGCTGTAAATGAAGCTGGACAGGGACGGGGAAGTGAACAATTTAGTGTTCATCAACCTATTTCTGGTAAATTAAAATTTTATTTTTAAGGGTGGGAATTTGTAAAATTTTAAAAAATAAAACTAAAATATTAAACAATTTATTATTTTTTATTGATATTTTTGGTATCGGCAAAATTTCAAGTTTTTTCCTTTGAATTTTTACCTACCAGAGATCTAGTCGACATGTTAAATGAATTCTATACTATTTTGCGAATCGGAATTCCTGACCCAAAAAAACATAAGGAATTTTCGAGTGAATGAGTTAGTTTAGGTAATGAGTTACCCTGGGTAATTACTGGTTCGACCTCTCTCAGCGGTGGTAATTATTTGAGAGAGGGTAATTAATAGAGCATATACGGTAGTCTATTTTTTCATTATATTCTTCAATTTGGATTATCTTATTAAATCGGCCCCACACATCCAATAAGCTTTTAATTCTTCTCTCTTTTAAAATAAATTTATAAATATAAATTTATTAGCTCCACCGCCTCCAGACCGTAATTCAATACAAATAGTCACAGATTCGATTAAATCAACAGAATTATCTGCTCGAATTGATTTAAGCAAAATTAGCGATAAAAATGGTAAAATAATTAAATTAGCTATTTTGGTAGCTGAAGTAGATATTAAAGAAGAGGAAAAGGAAGAAGAAGAAAATAATACAAAAAATAAACAAAAAAGATTTGATAATTGGTTGTTATTAAATGAAAATAATGGAACTGTAAGTTTAAATTTATTTAAAGAATGGAGAAAATTGAGAGGGATGTACAAGAGATATTTCAAAATATAATCGGAATTTCTGTTCGAGATCTCGTCTTTATTCTAGTCTAAACTTATTTTACAAGATAAAATTAGGTTACAACAGAGGTGGGTCGGAAGACGAAGGTGCCGAAAATAGGAACTGTCGGAAATTTGAACTGGCTCAAAAGTCGTAAATCAGCCTAGATTCAATCTGAAATCAAGAACCGAAGAACTGGAGATATTATCGAGGGGGTTAAAAAGGACATAGATCGCGAATATTATGGACATCGGGAGATATCGAGGGATTAAAAGGAGGCAGAGGCGAATATCTTGAAAATATTGGAAGAATCTCTAGTCGAAAATATGCTTCAAAAATTGACGGAAATCGGAATTCCGACCCACTTCTGGTTTACAACAAAACTAATGTGTAGCTTAACAATTAAACTACATATAAATAATTAAGGGAAAATATTTAAAATATTAATTGAGACATAATTCACAAAATTTAAAAAGCATTATTTAAATTAAAATAAAAAAGCAATTCAAAAATTAAATAAAAATTTAAACTCAAACAAGAATTATGGAACAGATCTTTTAATAAATTAAAAATTTAAATTTGTTAAATTAGTTGCCAACATGGGGAATGGTTCGTCGTCATTCAACAACAAACATTTGGCCACCATTTATTGCATTAGAATTATTACCAGATAATAAAAATCGTCGATTTTCTTCTCCTTCTTCTATTAATACCTCACCAGATACTTCAATTATTAATTCAATTTTTATTACGTCAATTGGCTCTGACTTTGAATGTGAAGAGAAATTAGCAGAACAAATTTGTAATGGGCCGTTGAAGGTAAAAAGGAAAAATTATTTTTTTATAAAAATTATTTTATAAAATATTCTTTTAAAAAGAAAATACCGTAAATGTTCTAATAGAAGCCCGGCTACAATAGGAGCCCATGTTCTATTAGAAGCCCACTCATTTGTCAATGTGGGGTATTGAAGAATAAACGTCCATGCACTTATAGAAGCCCAAGCCCCATTAGAGGCCCACCGGACCCATTGAAAAATAGACGCCCGGGGCTTCTATTGGAACATTTAAAAATTCATTTTTCAACCCAAAAAATTTTTTTAATTTATTTTTTAAAATTAATTAGAACCTCTTTTTTATTTGTGCAAAATTTCTCGATTTTTGTCGGCATTAAAAAAATTATTTTTAATTTAAAATCTAGCCTATTCAATACATTTATTTATTTAAAATTTTTCTATCTTTGCGTGTTTTGAATTAATTTAAAAAAATAATTTTTAAAATAATTTCTAGCCTGGCTCTGTTTATCGACTAAAATTGCGTTTATTTACTTCTCAAAATCTTTGGTCTGATTCTCCATATACAGACCCAATACGTTTAGGTAAGGGAAATGAATTCTTTGAATTTTTAATTTTAAAATATTTTCAATATTTTTTTTTTCTATTTTCAAAAATATTTCTTCTCAATTTCCAAAATTTAAATATTTTAAATTTATTAAAAAGTACTCATCTTTTCTTCTAAATTATTTTTTTGGCAATTTATTTCTTAAATTATTTACTTTTCTTTTCCACATTTCCGTTTGATTTTTTAATAAATATTTGTGTGTAGATTAACTCAAAACAAAACAAAAAATTAAATTATTTTTGTTAATTTTCACGTGTTTTTAATTTTGTTTACCTTAAAAATTAAGTCATCTTTTGAAATAAAATTAATTTATTTATTTATATTATTGTAAACTTTTAAAAAATATTTACTCTATTAATTACTTTCTCCGCTTGTTTATTTTTTCCTGTTTACCGTTAAAACACCCCCCCCCCACTAGCTTTTTCCGCTTTTATTTAATTTTAATACCAACAGATATAGAAACTCGCGGTTTTTACGTATTTTAAAGTTGACTTTCCTTATTTGAATTTCTGGCAAGGAAAAAGGCATGAGAGAGAGAGAGAGTTCTGGACACAAATTCTGAGCGGTTTTAAAAATAAAAAAAGTAAATTTGATAAAACCTCATGTCTATTTGTTTTTGCAGATTTTAAAGTTAACTCAACATATTTTAATTTTATTTGCCTTTTTAATTTACTTGCCTGCTTGTCAAAATTTTAAATTGTTTATTTTAAATTTAATTGTAAATTGTAGCCATACATAAATGCACGTAGTTACTTAGAAGCCATAAATGCACTTTCTTAGCGGCGCAGAAAAAATAATGGAAATATAGTGGAAAAGGCATGAGAATTTCAATTAAATTAGATCGATTCTTGGCCAAGAAATTGTGCAAAAATTTTCCCTTATATGTACATAATTCCCGCTACAATGTATCCTTATTTAAATTTTTGGTTGGGAATTAAAAGAGGAATTATAAGTGTTTATTGAATTCGTTTTGATAATATTATGTATGTGTTCATGCTGTGGAAAAATTCATTGGATGGGAGATGAGATAGAACCAACATATAAGGGGCCCAAATCTAAGCACAACCGAATGTGCCCTAATCCAACCCGATGATGGGGTATTTTTTTTATTTTTTATTTATGTTCTTTCTGAAAGTGCGGATAAAACAGATAATACCAAAAAATAAGAGCATGCATGACAATTTATTTTTATCAAAATTTTTATTTTTAATTCCCAAAAATATTTTTATTGTTTATTTTTAATCTTTTTTAGTTCTAGAGAACAGTTTACACACATATATTTTAAAATAATATTATTTTCATCTTTAATCTTTTAAGGAATTTTTAAACATTTCATTTTTATTTTGTTTTTCAAATTTTTAATTTTTAAAAATTATTAAAAATAGTCTTTTTTTAATTCCTTTTTTATATTAATTTAAATGATGTAATTTAATTGGATATATTTATTTTCACAATTATGTAAATATATTAGTAATATTTTATCTTTTAAGTGCCAATTAAAATGCGTCACCTTTTTTATTTTAAATTTGTATATAATTTTTATAGAAATGGGAAAAATATTTTAGTATGTAGCTTTTTATTAATTTAATAAATTTTAGTTCAAAATAATTTATTTAAAAAATTCTTGAAAATTCTAGTTGGTATTTTATGTTCCATCAATAGAAATTACTCCGGTCCTAAGCTTTAATTTTAGTTTATATTGATTTTATAACATTTATGTACTACATAATTTTGTATACCTAATATCGTATTATCTCTAATAGAATGGCCCCCTCCATTTGAATGGCCCTCTCCAATAGAATGACCCCTGGAGGATGATTGAAATATAGAATGACCGGCCATTTTATTAGAGATAATACGGTATGTATTCTTCTTATTTTCTCAAATAAAAATTATTTGTTTTACGAAAAAATTTAAATAAAATTATTATTCCATCATTATTCTTATTTTTTTATTCTTTTTTCAATTGTTTTAAACTTTATGGTTTTTACACAATATTAAATTGTAAATATTCGATTAATGGGGGAGGTTGGGGGAAATTTCAAATAAAAATTGTGAGAAAATAAATAAATACTTAAAATGCCCGAATAAATTTTTAAAAGAATTCTTTTCCTTTACATTAAAAATTTAAAAGAAAATAACATGTTTTCAACTAAACAAAGGAAATGCTTCCGGAAAAATTTCCGGAAAATCTTTAAAAAAATAAAGATTTTCCCGTTTTTCTTTTATATTAACAGTTTTTTCAAATTGTTTTTTTCCGTCCCCCTATTTAATTCCCACGACTATCATTTTGTAGAATTTTACTCCCATACAAATATTCCCCCCTTATTTTCTTTGATATGTCATTTTTATATTTATTTCCGTCCAAACACCCACCTACCTACCTACAAACACTCTTCAATTCTTTTTTTATTCCCATTCAATTCACTATTTTATTTAACTCAATTGCTTTAATAATATTTATTTTTTGTCCAAATTTAGTCCTTTTAGTATTCTTTAATAAAAAAAAAGCTCCATTTTTTACATGTCACCAATTTTTAAATTTATTTAAACAATTAAAAATAGTTTAATTTCTTTTCAGAATATAAATTTTAGCCTTAATCCCTCGATATCTTCAAACCCCCCATATCTTTTTAATCTTCAAAATCTGACAATGAAATATCATTCTTTGATTTGCCATCCGAAGCCAACATGTTCAGGAGGAGCCAAGATTTGAAACAGTTCGGAGAGCCGTAGACACATAAGCTCCAATACCAAACACTGGTATCGAACAATAAAAGAAAATATTTTAAAAAAGTATTTAACCTTCCTCGATATTATGCCAAATTTTATGTAAAACGGAATTTGAACATCTAGAAAAGAAACTAAGGAC